CCAAAAAAAAAAAAAAAAAAAAAAAAAGGTATAAGTCAAAAGAAGATGACAAGAGATCTAGGAAACAGGAAGTCAAAACCAGGGAGAGGCCGGCTGCAGTGGCTCACGCCTGTAATTCCGATATTTTGGGAGGCCAAGGCGGGCAGATTGCTTGAGGCCAGGAGTTCGACACCAGCCTGGGCAACATGGTGAAGCCCTGTCTCTACTAAAAATAAAAAAGTTAGCTACGCGTGGTGGTGCATGCCTGTAATCCCAGCTACTTGGGAGGCTGAGGCAGGAGAATCACTTGAAACTAGGAGGCGGAGGTTGCAGTGAGCCGAGATCATGCCACTGCACTCCAGCCTGGGTGACAGAGCGAGACTCCATCTCAAAAAAAAAAAAAAAATTCACAGGGAGAAACAAAGGGGAAGTTCCATGATCATGGTGGCACAGTAGATAAAAGAACACAGAGCTCCTGGAAGGACACAGCCAAGAAAAAAACAGAATCTGATGGAGCTGACCTCCTGGAGAACTGAGAAACATCTGGACTACGTGGAAAGAACTAGCAAAAGGTATAAACAAAACTAAAGAAATGACAAATAAAGTAAATATTAGCTTCCATGAAAACAACAACAAAAGAATCACAGTATACTAAACTGCTTAACTGAGAATACAGCTGAGCCTTAAACAACACAGGTTTGACCTTCACATGTCTCACATGTGGATTTTCTTTCTCCTCTGCCACCCGACAGCAAGATCAAACCCTCCTCCTTCTCCTCAGTCTACTCCACATAAAAACAATGAGGATGAAGACCTTTACGATGCACCACTTCAAGTTACTAAATAGTAAATATATTTTTTCTTATGTTTTTTTTTTTTTTTTTGAGATGGAGAATTGCTTGAATCCAGGAGGTAGAGGTTGCAGTGAGCCAAGATCACACCACCATACTCCAGCCTGGGAGACACTGATTTTATTTTATAGGCATTATCATCAAAGAGAGGGTCTTACATCCTTTGCAGTGGCTATTTTTCACTTACATTCTTCTTTTCAAATTTAAATAATGGTAACCTCTTATACATTTCAAAACAACCTTTATTTTTTAAATCAGGTTTTTTGTTTTTTGTTTTTATTGAGAGTCTCGCTCTGTTGCCCAGGCTGGAGTGCAGTGGCGTGATCTCGGCTCACGATAAACTCTGCCTCCCGGGTTCAAGAGATTCTCATGACTCAGCCTCCCGGGTAGCTGAGATTACAAGCACATGCCACCGTGCCTGCCTAATTTTTATATTTTTAGTGGAGACGGGGTTTTGCCATGTTGGCCATGCTGGTCTTGAACTCCTGACTTCAAGTGATCTGCCTGCCTCAGCCTCCCAAAGTGCTGGGATTACAGGCATGAGCCACCATGCCCAGCTTCTTCCTTATGATTTTAATAACATTTTCTTATCTCTAGCTTATTTTATTGTTAAGAGTACAGTATATAATACAACATATAAAACATGGCAATCAACTGTTTATGTTATCAGGTTTAAGGCTTCTGGTCAACAGTAAGCTATTAGTAGTTAAGTTTCTGGGGAGTCAAAAGTTATATGCAGGTTTTCAACTGACTAGGGGGGCGGTGTTGGCACCCGTAACCCCCGCACTGTTGAAGGGTCAATTGTACTGTATTTATATATGCCAGCAGCTCCCCAATTGTGGTGTGCAGATCTCATGAGGTCTCCTTTCAGGGGATCCACATGGGCAAAACTATATTCATAATAATACTAAGACATTTGCATTTTCCACTGTGTTGACATCTGTACTGATGTAGAAAAGCAATGGTGGGTAAAACTGCCGGTACCTTAGTGCAAATCAAGTCAGTGGCATTAAATGTATAGTCGCCATTAGATCCTCTCTTCACCATCTTGTGCTTGCGGTTAAAAAATAAAAAAGCCAGTTTTACTTAAGAATGTCCTTAATGAAGCAATAAAAATCACTAATTTATTAAATCTCAAGCATTGAGTATATATCTTTTCAATATTCTATGGGATTAAATGGGAACTATGCATAAAGCATTTCGGCATACAATTACAGTAACTGTCTCGAGGAAAATCTCTTGTGTGTTTTGAATTGCAAGTTGAACTAGCTGTCATTTTTAAAAATAAGAAATGACAGAAAAACTATGTATATATGACATGTGACAAACATTTTCTCAAAAATTAATAAAGGAAGCCTAGCATTTCAAGGAAAGTAACTATGATAACAGTATTTGTTGTCAATAAAATTTGAGCTTTCTGGCAAAAATCAGAATTGTATCTATCATCATGAACTTGATAGATTCCCAATACTGATGAAATTGGTAGTGATATTAACAAAAGTGATATGGAAGATTTGCTTATCTTGGTGAACCAAAATTTCCCAAATGACCAATTCATGATGCTAAAAAACTCTGCTTGGGTGAAAGATCCATTTAAAATGCAGGACCAATCAATGAGATTTCAATTGAGTAGAGTAAAAAGGTTCACAAATATGATTTCAGATTCTACACTGCAATAACCTTTAAGTAACCATCACTCGTTGAGTTTTAGTGAAATACCAAAGAAAAATATCCATAATTACCTGAAAAGGCTATTAAAGTATTCCTCCTACCTTTTCCAACTACACATCTGTGTGCGGCTGGATTTTCTTCATATATTTCAACTAAAACACCTCAACACAACAGATTAATTACAAAGGCAAGTGTTAATAGATATGGTAATTGCCTTCTATTAAGTTGGACATCAGAAAAGATTTTCTAAAAAGTAAATCAATGCCAGCTTTCTATTTTGAAAATAAAATTTTTCATAAAGTTATTCTAGAATATAATGAGTTTATTAGTGTCATTTAGAAAAATTAAGTAGTTTACAAATGTCTTCAGTTTCCTTTTTTTTCCTTTTTTGAGACAGGGTCTCCTAAACTGGAATGCAGTGGTGTGTTCAAGGCTCACTGAGCCTCCACCTCCCATGTGATTCTCCCACCCCAGCATCTCAAGTAACTGGGACCACAGGCGCATGCCACCATGACCACCTGGCTAATTCCTTTCTTTTTTTTCTTTTTTCTCTCTTTCTGTTTTGTTTTTAGTGGAGATGAGGTCTCAGGCTAGTCTCAAACTCCTGAGACCAAGAGATCTTCCCACCTTGGCCTCCCAAAGTCCTGAGATTACCAAACTGAGCCATCACGCCTGGCCAGTTTTAATTTCTAATACAGTAAATGTTGAAAGATATACCCACATAAACAAAAGCTGTTTGGGCTCCTCAGTAAGTTTTCGCAGGACAAACGGAGTCTAAAACCAAAAAATTTGAGAACTACTGATATAAGTATTATAATAAACACTACATAATGAATTTAACCACAATTGTTAAACATTATTTTAGAAAAATAGAAGAGAAGCAGAGCACATCGAAATGGTTAATGAGAAATGGAAATGTGGGCCAGGTGTGGTGGGCCAGGTGCAGTGGCTCACGCCTGTAATCCCAGCACTTTGGGAGGCTGAGGTGGGCGGATCACTTGAGGTCAGGGGTTCGAGACCAGCCTGGCCAACATGGTGAAACCCCGTCTCCTCTAAAAAAAAAAAGAATACAAAAATTAGCCAGACGTGGTGGCACGCACCTGTAGTCCCAGCTACTCGGGAGGCTGAGACAGGAGAATTGGTTGAACCTGGGAGGCAGAAGTTGCAGTGAGCCAAGATTGTACCACTGCACTCAAGCCTGGGAGACAGAGTGAGACTCCATCTCAGAAAAAGGGAAATGTGCTTAAGTTACTTGCCAGAAATAAATGCTTTGATGATCTCTATTTACTTATCTAACACAAACATCACTTCACTCTAACCTGTAATATCTATCTTCCTTACTAAGCATGACCTCCAGAGATGGTATCTTCACCTCTGTAACCCAAGGCCTGATTACATGTATCATACAGCAAATACTAATAAAGAATTATTTGACTCAATAAATGAATAAATGAATGAGGTAGTCCAATTAACAAAATGAAGTCATACTCACCAAACGGCTGTTTCTTCCATTTTTAAAAATCTATATACAGCAGCTCTGGGAAGTCGTGTGTTTTTTTTTTTTTTTTTTTGAGATGGAGTCTCACTCTGTCGCCAGGCTGGAGTGCAGTGGTGCGATCTCGGCTCACTGCAACCTCTGCCTCTTGTGTTCAAGTGATTCTCCTATCTCAGCCTCCTAAGTAACTGGGACTACAGGCATGCACCACTACACTCAGCAATTTTTGTATTTTTAGTAGAGACAGGGTTTCACCATGTTGGCCAGGATGGTCTTGATCTCTTGACCTCATGATCCGCCTGCCTCAGCCTCCCAAAGTGCCTGGATTACAGGCGTAAGCCATCGAGCTCGGCTTTTTTTTTTTTTTTTTTTTTTTTTTTTTTTTTTGAGTCAGTCTCGCTCTGTTGCCCAGGCTGGAGTGCAGTAACACCATCTTGGCTCACTGCAACCTTGTCCTCCCAGGTTCAAGAGATCCTCCTGCCTCAGCCCCACAAGTAGCAGGATTACAGGCATCTGCTACTATGTCTGGCTAATGTTGTATTTTTACTAGAGATGAGTTTCACCATGTTGGCCAGGCTGGTCTTGAACTCCTGACCTCAGGTGATCCACCTGCCTCAGCTTCCCAAAGTGCTGGGATTACAGGCCTGAGCCACCACGCCCAGTGGAAAGTCATGTTTTCTTAAATCAGGGTTTCTATGAGTTGTAGACCACCATTCATTATGTAAATACACAGGAAATCACATATATACAAAATATATCCATATTGATCTGTCTATATTGGCCATTTCTTTCCTTACCTGTGATAACTTACAGCAGGCACTCTTGAATTTCAACAACGTCAAGACTTTTTTCCCTCCTCTCTTCCTCCCTCTTAATCTCTTTTGGTCCCTCTGGATTATATCTCCCCTTTACGTACCATCAACCATCTTTAATTTAGCATGACCAACAAAAGACCCCTGACAGCTCCCAGAACCTAGAGACAAACTAGAGAAAAACAATCTTACCAATAGTATGATTTCCGTAAAGGAGCTGCTCCAAAATTGCAGTTTTCCCCACAGATAGCAATCCACAAACCACAACCTTGCAGCCCTTTCCCATCTTCTCTCAGGATATCACTGTGGAGAGAACAGAAGGTCTTTTAAATTGTATACTGCTGAAACTAACCATTTCTTTTTATTTCAGTATTTCAATTTAATATGTAACACATGCACAGGGGAAATTTTCAAATACAGTAAAGGAGATACAGAATAAGGTATAGCCTTCCAAACCCCATTCCCCAGTCTCCCATTTGCTCCCTTAGAGCAATAAGCATTATCAGTTTCTTATATATCTGACAGAGACAATGTAGATAAACATGAGACTTCAGGCCGGGCACAGTGGCTCACGCCTGTAATCCTACCACTTTGGGAGGCTGAGGCGGGCGGATCACCTGAGGTCAAGAATTCGGGACCAGCCTGGCCAACATGGTGAAACCCCGTCTCTACTAAAAATACAAAAATTAGCCAGGCATGGTGGCACATGCCTGTAGTCCCAGCTACTCAGTAGGCTGAGGCAGGAGAATCGCTTGAACCCGGGGTCGGAGGTTGCAGTGAGCCGAGATTGCGCCACTTCACTCCAGCCTGGGTGAAAGAGCCAGACTCCGTCTCAACAACAAAAAATAAATAAATAAATAAAATACATGGATAGATGTGAATACATCTTTGTTTTCAAAAAGAATAAATATATTTTATATGAAGAATATTTCAATACCGATTAAGTCTATAGGAATCCAACAGACTCTTAAATCCTTGAACGAGACTGCCTACTCATTAATATTTACCTGGAAAAATAAACATTTAAGTAAAAATTTAAGGAGGCATGAGGATAAAATTTTTAGAAAATGGATATGATTTTTCAAAGAAACATGAATGTTTATGTCAGTCTTTTCTCAGGAAGAGAAGAAACTGGATTTTGGTAGTCACGTGGTTTTTTTTTTTTTTTTTTTGAGATGGAGTCTAGTTCTGTCACTCAGGCTGGAGTGCAGTGGAGAGATCTCAGTACACTGCAACCTCTGCTTCCTGAGGGCAAGCAATTCTCCTGCCTCAATCTCTCGAGTAGCTGGGATTACAGGCACCTGCCACCATGCCTGGTGAAATTTTTGTATTTTTAGTAGAGACGGGGTTTCACTGTGTTGGCCAGGATGGTCTCAAACTCCTGATCTCAAATGATCCGCCTGCCTCGGCCTCCCAAAGTGCTGTGATTACAGGCGTGAGCTACTGCGCCTGTCATGTGGGCCTTCTTCGTCATATTTCTTTTTGAGGAAGAATAGACAACGCTAGCAAAACTGCCCATGCACAGGACTTCATGACTAAAACACCAAAAGCAATGGCAATAAAAGCCAAAATAGACAAATGAGATCTAATTAAACTAAAGAGCTTCTGCGCAGCAAAAGAAACTACCATCAGAGTGAACAGGCAACATACAGAATGGGAGAAAATGTTTGCAATCTACCCATCTGACAAAGGGCTAATATCTAGGACCTACAAAGAACTCAAACAAATTTACAAGAAAAAAACCAAACCCATCAAAAAGTGGGTGAAGGATATGAACAGACACTTCTCAAAAGAAGACATTTATGCAGCCAACAGACACATGAAAAAATGCTCATCATCACTGGCCATCAGAGAAATGTAAATCAAAACCACAATGAGATACCATCTCACACCAGTTAGAATGGCAATCATTAAAAAGTCAGGAAACAACAGGTGTTGGAGAGGATGTGGAGAAATAGGAACACTTTTACACTGTTGGTGGGACTGTAAACTAGTTCAGCCATTGTGGAAGACAGTGTGGCGATTCCTCAAGGATCTAGAACTAGAAATACCATTTGACCCAGCCATCCCATTACTGGGTATATACCCAAAGGATTATAAATCATGCTGCTATAAAGATACATGCACACGTATGTTTATTTACAGCAGTATTCACAAGAGGAAAGACTTGGAACCAACCCAAATGTCCATCAATGACAGACTAGATTAAGAAAATGTGGCACACATACACCATGGAATTCTATGCAGCCATAACAATGAGTTCATGTCCTTTGTAGGGACATGGATGAAGCTAGAAACCATCATTCTGAGCTAACTATCGCAAAGAGAGAAAACCAAACACCGCATGTTCTCACTCATAGGTGAGAACTGAATAATGAAATCACTTGGACACAGGGTGGGGAACATCACACACCGAGGCCTGTTGTGGGGTCGGGGGAGCGGGGAGGGATAGCATTAGGAGATACACCTAATGTAAATGATGAGTTAATGGGTGCAGCACACCAACATGGCCCATGTATACATATGTAACAAACCTGCACGTTGTGCACGTGTACCCTAGAACTTAAAGTATAATTTTAAAATTTAAAAAAAGAGAAAAATTGCCCATGCACTTAAAACTGGAAAGAAAAGGAAAATTAACCTCTCCTAGCTTCTCAACTTATATCTAAGTAAGAACAAGGTAAGGTGATATTTCCTTCAATTTTCCTCAAGGCTTTTCTTTCCAGAAGGCAAGGTACCAGAAGTCAAGGCAGAAAGTTAAAAGGGGTCATTAAATACCACAGACAAAGAATTCAAATTTCTACATTGCTGTTTGTCATCTCCCACTACCTCCTTCTTTCCTCTAATTCTCTGCTCACCTATAAGTGACCATGCTATAAACCTGGCTAAAAGGGACACTATAATTCCTTGCAGTCAAAAACAACTGTAACGCCAGTCATGGTGGCTCACGCCTGTAATCCCAGCACTTTGGGAGGTCGAGGTGGGTGGATCACCTGAGGTCAGGAGTTGGAGACCATCCTGGCCAACATGATGAAACCCCATCTCTATTAAAAATACAAAAAATAGCCGAATGTGGTGGTGGGTGCCTGTAATCCCAGCTACTGGAGAGGCTGAGGCAGGAGAATCACTTGAACTCAGGAGGCAGAGATTTCAGTGAGCCGAAATCACGCCACTACACTCCAACTTGGGCAGCAAGAGTGAAACTCTGTCTCAAAAAAAAATAAAAATAAAAACAAACAAAAAGAGCTCTAACAATGAACTTCACGGCCAGGTGCAGTGGCTCACGCCTATAATCCCAGCACTTTGGGAGGCCACGTTGGGTGGATCATTTGAGGTGAAGAGTTCAAGACCAGCCTGGACAACATCGTGAAAACCTGTCTCTACTAAAAATACAAAAAATTAGCCAGTGTGGTGGTGGGCACCTGTAATCCCAGCTACTTGGGAGGTTGAGGTAGGAGAATTGCTTGAACCTGGGAGGCGGAGGTTGCAGTGAGCCGGGATGGCACCACTGTGCTCCAGCCTGGGCGACAGAGACTCTGTCTCAAAAAAACAAAAAAAGAAAAGAAAGTTCAAATAAGCATTCTGACAAAAGGGATGCTAGGTATCTATCTGCACTCACGTGCTCACTGGATTGTGACAGTAAAAACCCAACACGGAACGCACATGTTTTTTAGAGACCAGATCTTGCTACGCGGCCCAGGCTGGAGTGCAGTGGCTATTCACAGGTATAATCACAGTACACTACCGCCTAGAACACCTGGATTCAAGGGATCCTCCTCTGTTCACCACATCAACTACAGAATATATCTCTGTGTGTGTGTGTGTGTGTGTGTGTGTGTGTCACCTAGGCTGAAGTGCAGTGGCACAGTCTCGGCTCACTGCAACCTCCGCCTCCTGACTTCAAGCGATTCTCCTGCCTCAACCTCCCAAGTAGCTGGGATTACAGGCACATGCCACCACACCTGGCTAATTTTTGTATTTTTAGTAGATTTCACCATGTTGGCCAAGCTGGTCTTGAACTCCTGACCTCAAGTGATCCGCTGGCCTCAGCCTCCCAAAGTGCAGAATATATCTTAATGGTGGCAGTATAGTAGTTGTATTTGCACACATGTGTGTTGCACAGCAATACTGTCTTCTACTAACACTGGAAACATTATGCCACAAATAAATTTCAAGTCTTCTCTACTGTATCTTCTCAATCTGTAATTTTTTTATGACCCAAATCACCCACAACACTAATCTCATATAAAAAATTTTAATGCTGCCATTTTTGTAGCATAGTAATAACGCAGTATTTCTTTTCAGAGTAGTACACTGCATTTTACCAATAGACAACCAGCCATCAGTTACATAATACAACCATTATTTCCTTGGTGGCACGCTTCAGATTCTAAATCTTCTGAGAATATTAACCACTGGCTTCCATGAGAACCACTTTTTTTAGGGGACTTTCTTTTCTTTATATATTTTCAACCTAACTGTAATAGAAAACTTCTCAGCCTTTATTTATAAGGGCAGAGCATTATGTAACACTGATCATCTACGGTATGTATGGTATTTCCGTCATCCGCAACAACAGCCTATTTTAAAAGGTTTTCTACAGATACCTCTGAATTTATGATAAATTTAATGTCACTTCATTGATCAAAGGACTCTCCTCTCTGCCTATTGTGATTTCTTTACAAGTTATGATACCACTGTATCTTTCTTTAGGAAGATTTTTTTTTAAATAATAGCTAAATTTTAAAAGAAACTGCCATGTAGGCACATGAGAAGAGTTTGAAAAAGAAAGAAACTCCTAGAGGATGGGACAAATGATGACAGACAGCATAATTCTGTCAGAAAAGGCTGCTGTTGGAATTTAAATCCAAATTTCTCTATTGTTATTTCTATTTCTCTGAAAATCTCTTACCCTCAGTGGAATTTCTAAGTATCAATTTTTACTACTCTCCCTTTCCTGTTCAACTGAAAAAATACGCCTTTATCCACACATTATGCCAATCTTCAAAAACACTCAAAAGAGGCCGGGTGCAGTGGCTCACGTCTGTAATCTCTATGCTTTGGAAGGCCAAGGTGGGTGGACTGCTTGAGCCAGGAGTTCGAGACTGGCCTGGGCCCCACATCGGGACCCTGTCTCTTTGAGTTTATATACGCATAAACTCAAAAGGGCAGGCATACACTGTAGCTGAGTGAAGCGGGCAGCTTTAAGGAAAAAAACACCCAATGATTAACAGCAACAGGCCCTCTGTAAAAAAGAGGCAAATATGAGTGCTAGGGACTACAGCAAACTGGAAAAATCTGACACCAACAGAAACCTGAGACATTCAGATATCAAGCTTTCCAAGTACCTTTGGAAGTAATGTTACTATATCTGCTTTAAAAGTAGCACACTGCAGGCCGCGCGCGGTGGCTCACGCCTGTTATCCCAGCACTTTGGGAGGCTGAGGCAGGTGGATCACGAGGTCAGGAGATCGAGACCATCCTAGCTAACATGGTGAAACCCTGTCTTTACCAAAAATACAAAAAATTAGGCGGGGCCTGCAGTGAGCCGAGATCACGTCACTGCAGTCCAGCCTGGGAGACAGAGCACGACTCCGTCTCAAAAAAAAAAAAAGTAGTACACTACAAATGTACTTTGATCACTCATTGATGATTATCAGGATAATATAATTATCAGGATAACAGGATAAACAGACAACGTTTGCTAAAAATTATACATTGTTTTGTATTGTGTGTGTATATTAATAAATTGGGGAGTTCACTTTGATATCACCAAAGAAGTCTTCATCATGGGCAAACAGTAAAAGTAACTGAATAAAGGTAGCTCAGAACACTAGCTAAGGATTTTAAGCATTTTTTGGAAGGAAAGCAAAGAGATAGAACAGACCTTATTAAATATTTTACACTATCAAAAAGAAAACAAAGACGAAAAGATAAGTGTGATTAATCAAAGCATGGGTGAATATTGTAGGTTCCTGGTTGCCTTCTAAATAGGAAACAATACTACTACATAAAGCAAATGAGTGCCTTGCTACCATCAATTACAAAGCTAAGAATTCTTTAAAAAATAATTAACATTTTGAATAAATAGCACATAAACAAAAATATTTTCTATATATGATCACTATGGCAGGAACTCACATTACAAATAACTGGTTCTCATGCTTAGATATTTTCAGATTTACAAACAAAAACTACTAAAAGTTTGGTTCTTAAAGCACTTATAATTAAATAATTCCTAAACACAATAAATGCACACCACTTCCTGTGAAATATACAAAGGTGGTCATCTGCAGTACCCTGAATGGGCACTGAATCCCATGAACCGATCCTGGGGTAACCAAGCCTCTTACTTAAATCTAGGTTTCAAGAATTTGAAAGGCTCTGTACTACATGGATCACCTTTAGGTTCCTTTCAACACTGTGATGCTATGATATTAGAAGTTGCTTATCCAGAGAACACACCAACACTAAGGTGAACACAAAAAACAGTAGTTACAGCTACTTGTCATATCCCTACCCTAAGAAACTGGGCAATAAAATTCAATCTGTGACCTATTATACCTCATCTGATGTAAATTACTAAGAGAACGTGCTTAATAGGCAAGATCCAGGGCAGTCTTAAATACTTATTGCTTTATTTTCCAGGCTAATCAATAATGTTGCTAGAGAATAAATACAACTTCCTCTCTCCAACTTGAGGCTAAAAAAAAAAAAAAAACAGAATAAATATGTGACCTGGTCCATTCCTGTGAAATGCTTTGTCAACATTCTCTTTGAAAAGCCATCAGAAAAAGCTCCCCAAAACTGTTGGTGCTTCTGTTTTTCTATGTAAGTGGGTCATTCTACTGTTATAAGTAAAACACAACTTTCTGACGCAACCAGAAAAACAATACCAAAACACTGTTAACATCATAGGAGAGATGTCATAAATCTCTAAAAATACTGTCATGTGGGGAAACCACCCACACTGTGTATTTACTTATGTCAACATTATGCATGGTGTGGGATACTTTCCCTTATCCATATATGAATACATTTACATACATAAAAATATATTCAACAGGTTTTGCACACAATATTGCACAAAATAAAATGTAATAAGCAGATTCTAGCTTACCATTCTTTTATTCATTTACCAAACATTTAGTGAGGGCCTACCATCACGCCAGCTATCAGGGACAAACTAGGGGGCAAAAACAGAAATCATCCCTTGTCTTCAGGAATCTCAAAATCAACTGGAAACACAAATCCGAATCTTGTAAAACTGTTAACTGAGAAACTACAAATTGAGAAACAAAACTGCAAACCTGATTGATAAATTAGCAGTGATTATTCACACTACTAGAATCTTTTTTCCAAATGATTCATCTAACTTTTTAAATTTTATTTTTACTGCTCCTTACGGAGCTGGACTACGCCCCTAGGCAGTGCGCCTAGAGTAGCGCATTCAACTTTTTAGTCAGTCATTCTCACTGTTGAAATACATACAGGGCTGCACTGCTTACCATTTTCATCACTACTGAAGTGGTCTGGGTGAGGCACCGCGTTCTCTCACCTGGTCTCTCAAAGACATTGTAATCCCCCAAACCTGTGAATATGTTACTTTACATACTCATACAAGAATTTTGCGGGTGTGATTAAGAACTTCCATATGAAGATATTGTCCTGAATTATCTAGGTGGGCCCAATGTAATCACAAGTGTCTTTATAAGAAAGACACAGGAGTGCTGGAGAGGGCAGAGGGTGTGACTGGAAGACGCTCTTTTGCTGGCTGTGAAGATGAAGGAAGAAGTCAGGAACCAAGGAACTCAGGCAGGCTTCATTAGGTGGAAAAGCCAAGGAATAAATGTATGTTCCCCTAGTACCTCCAGAAAGAACACAACCCTACTGACACTTTGGTTTTAGCCTAGTGAGATTTACAGATTTACAGACCTAGTCTGATCTACAGACTAAAAGACAGCAAATTTGCATTGTTAGTAACCAAAAAAGTTGCTGAAATTTGTTACAGGAGCAATGGAAGACTAATACAATTTCCTAAGTAGTCTCTCTGCTTCCATTTTTGCTCTCCCTTTAGCCTCAAAAGGAGCAATCCAAATTATCTTTTTAAAATTTTAGCACGCCATATGAAGTCATCCTTCTGTTCAAAACCTTACAATGAAATCCAAAGTCCATGTAAGACCCTCACCTCTCTGACATCATTTCCCACTTTCTCCTACTGTGAAGTTCAGCCACACTGCTTCCCTGCTGCTCCTCTACTAACCTTGCATGCTCCAGTCTTGGCACTCTTCCCTCTGCCTGAATCAGACCCCTACTCTTACTCCCAGACTCCTATCCTTGAGGTCCTTTCTTAAATGGTACCTTCTCTAAAAGACAACCTGGACATTCCATCCCACATTGCAAGCCCCACCTCCTAACACTCCCTCATCACTTCCCTCCCCTTACCGTTTTTCCTTAGCATTTACCACCAAACCCAATACAAAGCTTACTTCTGCTTACTGCTCGTTTCCAAGAAGGCCAAAATTTCTGCATTGTTTGCTGCTGCATCCCTAGCAACTACGCCTGGCACATATTAGACACTTAATAAATATTTGTTGACTCAATCAATGTACCAGATGGAGACACTTAAAAACGTAAAGCTGTGATTTAAAAAGAAAGAAAAATATGAGGTAGGAAAAAAGATAATCAAAACCGCTACGATTAAGAGATAACGATTCTTTTAAGCCTTTGCCACATTCGAACGCAGAATCTGGAAGGAAATTAAAACCACATGACTATATCAAAAATGAAAATATTCGGGAGAAGCAAAATAAGCCAGTAACCTATTTCTTAATTAAAAAACAACAACAAAAACAAAAAACAAAAAACAAAAAACCGCAACGCAAAATGCCAGCATTTTCTCGGCATTTCTTCCCTAAAACATTCACACCTGCCAAACAGGTCTTGGCAAATAAACATTTGCTTTTCTGAAAAACTGTGGTTCTGATGGTAGCAATTTTGGGACGAAATCCGTATGCAGAAAAAGCGCCGAGCCGCCCGCAATCCACCCAGTCCGCGACCCTTTTTTAGGACAAAATCCCTGGGAGCTAGGGCCTGCGGGAGCTTCACGCAGTCTAGAGCTGAAGGGACACAGCGAGCGCCCCCACCTGCGACGCCCCTACTCCGTGAAGGCCTCCCTGGGGGGCTGGCGAAGCGTCGCGGGGTCTCTCAGCGCAGCGCTGGGACCCAGATTTCTGCGCCCGTCGTGCGGGGGCCAGAGAGCGACAGCGCAGCGCGGAGACGCAGAGACTCCGCGGGAAGAGAGCCCGCGGTGCGTGAAATAAACCTGTTCTCTCCTCTGACCTCAAAGACAGCGGCTCACCGGGGTACGCGGTCACCGGCTTTGGAACCTGGACCCCAATTTGCCTCTTCTCGTGGCGGGACAGTCAACGACGCTCGCTTACCGACGCCTCGCCGCTAACTCTCTCACCCCTGGCCGCTCAGGCTGGAATCCTGCGGGGCAGGGGGCGGGACAATAGGGGCGGCTGCGCCCCACTCGGCAGAACTCCGCCCACCAGGCGCGATGCTGGAACTACATGTCCCATGAGGCTCTGGGAGGCCGCAGTTTTCCACCGGAAAGAGGTTGGCTGAGGTGGGGGAGGAGCCCAAAAGGGATTGTGGGAGTACAGCTCTTTCCTTTTCGTCTGGCGGCAGCCATCAGGTAGGCTGCGTTGGAGATCTTTGCTCTTCCATCCGCCGTTGATCGTCTTCCTCTTCAGCCATCCAGGCCCGGGGACCCTGCGTCCTCCGAGATAGGTCTCCCTCCTGTGCGGCCAGAGTTTGGTCAGGATGCGGGACAGCGAGGGGGTGGAGAGGCGGCCCCCGGGGCGGGTTGAACGAAGATGTGATGGCGGCGCGAATTCGAGCTGGGCCGGGATCCTGGAGGAGGCGTGGGGCTGACGAATGGGGCGCCCGGGACAAGGCAGCCTAAAGAGAGGCTGCTGGTTGGGTGGGGTAGATGCATTTTCCTCGAGAGTTAATCCTCGGCGGCCGCAGCAGTACGTTGCCCTGTTGTGTCAGAGGCATCTCCTTGCAGGTTCCCATTGGGGACGCCGCCTGCCGCAGCCACCCGCCCCCTTGGTGCTCACCTCTGGCTCTGTTCATTCACCCCACCAAAACGTGCCGAGCTCCGCCCCGGGGTTGCGGAGGTGACTGAACGCGGCTCCGTGGGCGCATTGGTGGGGGTTGGGCTAGCTGTCCCCGGCAGTTGGTGCAGAGCCATTTTCATTCCCGGCGGTTTCCTTGTGCTTGTTGGGGAACTAAGATGGACGAGTAGGGTCGTCTTATTGTACTTCAAACGGATGATATTTAATACCCGGTTTGATTTCATAGGTAAGCCAAGATGGGTGCATACAAGTACATCCAGGAGCTATGGAGAAAGAAGCAGTCTGATGTCATGCGCTTTCTTCTGAGGGTCCGCTGCTGGCAGTACCGCCAGCTCTCTGCTCTCCACAGGGCTCCCCGCCCCACCCGGCCTGATAAAGCGCGCCGACTGGGCTACAAGGCCAAGCAAGGTACGTGATCGACTGCCTGGATGCTAGGATAAAATTATATTCCAGGAAAGTTGGAAACCAGCTGGTAGGAAAACACTGCTGCCCCAGTGTCTGTCTTCTCGTAGGGCTTTGGCAGAATAGAGCTAGCAACACTGGTCAGTTACTTTATGGACTTGTTGTCTAAAGTGGCAAGTGCGTCAAAGGTTGCAAATCTGGATGAGTTCAGACTAAAGCAAACTGTGTGTCTCCCTGTGTGAGTAACCTAAAGTACATTGACAGACTGGGATGTGTTTTATTTTTTTCCATTATATAGCATTAACTTACTATTGAAGTATTTTTGGTGGAGTGTTAATGACAAGCCATTGAGTCTTAAGCCTGATGGGCTTCCTATAAAATCACTAATTTTGTGTGTGTGTGTGTGTGTGTGTGTAGGTTACGTTATATATAGGATTCGTGTTCGCCGTGGTGGCCGAAAACGCCCAGTTCCTAAGGGTGCAACTTACGGCAAGCCTGTCCATCATGGTGTTAACCAGCTAAAGTTTGCTCGGAGCCTTCAGTCCGTTGCAGAGGTAAATGGTTTTGAGTAGCAGTTATATTGAATGCTGCCTGGGGACGGTGGGAGAGACATTTAAGCAACTTTTCTGATTGTACTTAACGTGAATTGTGTATAAAATAGGGTTTGTGATTTTTACTAATCTTGGTAAAGAGTAATTGCTTGAAAGACTTGTAATTCTATTATAAATGCGTGTGTATATACTGGAAGTACTTGTGGAACCTAAGCTTTAAAGGCAAGAATATGCAGAAGAGACCAAATGTGGCCTGCACAGCCTAAAATATATACTAGATATTTGTAAAGCTAAACGTTGCTGAGCTCTCAGTTGTATTGGAAAAAGATAAGGTCCTCAAACCCTAAATGTTGTTACCCAGATATTAGTAAGGACTGGAGTATTAAGAGGGAATGATGTGTTTCAGTCTATATGTGTGTGTTGTTTTAGCAAGTTTACTTTATCTCATTATACTTGTGATAGTCTAGGGAGAAATGCTTCGTAAATACTTGAGTAGTAAAAGACTCCTGTCTGGTGGTGAACTAGAGTTGAGAATTAAAATTCTTTCTGACTCGCTGCTATAGGCAATGTGGGAGACTGACATTGACCTTTTTTCCTATTCTAGGAGCGAGCTGGACGCCACTGTGGGGCTCTGAGAGTCCTGAATTCTTACTGGGTTGGAGAAGATTCCACATACAAATTTTTTGAGGTTATCCTCATTGATCCATTCCATAAAGCTATCAGAAGAAATCCTGACACCCAATGGATCACCAAACCAGTCCACAAGCACAGGGAGATGCGTGGGCTGACATCTGCAGGCCGAAAGAGCCGTGGCCTTGGAAAGGGCCATAAGTTCCACCACACTATTGGTGGTTCTCGCCGGGCAGCTTGGAGAAGGCGCAATACTCTCCAGCTCCACCGTTACCGCTAATATAAGTAAAGTTTGTAAAATTCATACCTAATAAACAATTTAGGACAGTCATGTCTGCTTACAGGTGTTATTTGTCTGTTAAAACTAGTCTGCAGATTGTTTCTTGAATGCTTTGTCAAATTAAGAAAGTTAAAGTGCAATAATGTTTGAAGACAATAAGTGGTGGTGTATCTTGTTTCTAATAAGATAAACTTTTTTGTCTTTATCTTATTAGGGAGTTGTATGTCAGTGTATAAAACATACTGTGGTATAATAGGTTTAAAATAAATTCTTTAAGAGAACTGAAACTAGCCCTGTAGATTTGTCTGGTGCATGTGATGAAACCTGCAGCTTTGTTGGTGATGGCAATGCTCTGCTGGTTTACTTTCAAGTGGCTGGGTTTTTTTAGTTTGACAGGTACAGACTTTTTTAACTGGGCTTTAGAAAATCTGGGTTAGCCTGAAGAAAATTGCTTCCGCCTCCATAGTACCATTTTAAATTCACATAAAAAAGGTGAAAGCTCCTGGTTCAGTGCTGTGGCTTCATGTAATTCAATGATTAGTGGTAGTGGTATTAACACTGGTGTGTGTTGAAATTGAATGTGAGATAAAATTAGCCTTAAGATTGGTAAGCTAGCAATGAATGCTAGGGTGGGAAGCTGGTAAGCCAGTGGCCATTAGATAAATACCTTTCAAGTGTGAGAAGTCAATCCTAAAATATTTAACTGTAATGCTAATTGTGATCATTATGAACCCCTTCAGTCACCTTAGAGGGAAAAGTAGTTGGCTATAAGTACCTCATTCTTAGTCCAGTCAGTCTTAAAAACATCTTGGGTTACCCATTCTGTGCACTCCCATAGGCTACAGAAAAGGTCATAAGCGCATGGTTTGCAACCGTATGTGTTTTGTGCAGTTCTCTTGTTCCTGGCCAAACTACCCTAAAAATCCTTACCATTCCACAAAGTTGGGCCATCATTTGTGCTCCCACTTTGAGTATACCACCACATTGCATTTCCGTTTCAGTCATGTCTTCCAGGAGACTAGACTGTTTCCCAGGGTGGACTTGAGTATAAAGAAAAGGTAGACAAGGAATTGCCCAATTCTAAATTCTGACTTTACTGACTTAAATCTAAATGCTCGCTTCTCTGAACCAATTTTCTCCGATCTTCTCTAGGGGTCTCAAAAGGCTCAGTTAGTTGAATTCCAGGAAGTACTCCTAGCAAGTTCATAGAAGTTCTTGAGACCTAAATTTCTTCACACACACAAAAAAAGATCTTAAGTCATACATTTTTATTGTGTAGAAGTTGTTCAACTAAAGGAATAAATGTCTATTAAACTAAAAGAAATGGACTTTCTGTTATTTTTTGTCTTCTAGTGCTAATGTACTTTAAAGCAAACCAAATACCCTAGCCAGCAAAAAGGCATCAAAATGTGATTATAGAAATAGCATAATTTGAGGTAGCATAAAATGTACTTACTCTCTCAGTTCTTTGATCATTGCATGAATTAAGTTTTTATCTAAAACTGTTCAGCTGGGTGCGGTGGCTCAGGCTTGTAATCCCAGCACTTTGGGAGACAGGCTGGAGGATTTGTTGAGGCCAGCCTGGGCAGCATAGTGAGACCTCTACTTAAAAACAAAAACAACTTACACATGGCTAATTTGGGAAAGAGAAAGGGTTCGGGCCAAAGGTCAGCATTGTCTGTCTACAAGAAAACCTTGTTCCTGTCCTTGCTACCCTACAGTTTAATCTCCACACAGTAGCCCAAGGGATTCTATTAAATTGATCACGGCACTCCTGTGCAAAAAAATCAAAAGTCCTCATAATAGCTTTCATGATCTTCCCACTTTCTATGTGTGACCTTATGTCCTATTGCTGTCCTCACCCCAGGCTCCTTGCTGTTCTTCAAATACACCAAACACTTCTAATACCTTTATGATGGGAAAACGTTATTCCAATATTAAGGATCACTTTATTAGCTATGCCCTGACCACCCCACAATGTGTTCCCATTTGCTTTACTATTTCTGTAATGGCATGTAATTCACACAGCAACATTGATTATTCAGTTTTTTTGTTTTTTTTTTTTTCAGATGGAGTCTCACTCTCACCCAGCTGTGAGTGCAGTGGGGCAATCACGGCTCACTGCAACCTCTGTCTCCTGGGTTTGAGCGATTCTCCTGCCTCAGCCTTCCAAATAGCCAGGACTACAGGCACACACCGCCACGCCCAGCTAACTTTTGTATTTTTAGTAGAGACGGGGTTTCACCATGTTGGCCAAACTGGTCTTGAACTCCTGACCTCAAGTGATCCACCTGCCTTGGCCTCCCAAAGTGCTGGAATTACAGGCATGAGCCACCACACCGGGCCCAAATTTTCTTTAATAATAACAACAATTGGCTGGGCGTGGTAGCTCACACCTGTAATCCCAACACTTTTGGAAACCAAGGTGGGCTTGAGCTCATGAGTTAGAGACCAGCCTGAGCAACGTG